GAGGGGGAGTAGATCCCGATGAAGAGGATAGACTTTGGCTTAGGTGGAAGGGAGGCCGGTTGATCCCGATGAAGAGGAGATCCCGATGAAGAGGAGAGATAGACATATTTGATGCGATGATGCCGATGGCGCCGATCTGACGACGTCAACGAGGAAGTGGAAGATCGACGTCTACGGTGTCGCTTATGCCTCCTGTGCCTGGAGCTAGAAGAGGTGCAGTCCTCCAACATGGAGCGGTGCCGTCGTCAAGAATGGCGATGTCGATCCTTGCCCTCCTTATGACTGGATCGACGTCGATCACAGGAGACATGCCTTTTCTTCTCCTTTTTCTTCGCCGGCGGCAAACTAGCCCGCAAAGGGGTAGGAGAGACAGAGTGAGCCGAAGACACCCACCCGAATGACACAGGGCTGAGAGGGGCTGAACCCACGCTTGCAGTGACTTGAGCAAGCTGACTTGGCGTAGGAGACGAAATGCCAAGGGGTAACACCGGCTCAGATTGCCTAGGAGGGAGTGAGCGAGCCGCCTCCGACATGGAATCTTTATCCACAGGCGAGTCCTCTAAGATCGGAGATGGAAGGGAGGACGAAGCAGATGGCAAATGCTGGGTGGAAAACTTGTTTGTGGCAGGCTGTTTAACCTTGGGCTGCTTCGTAGATTTAACAGGAGCAGCCTTTGTAGAAGAAGATTTCTTAGATGTCTTCTTTGTTGGTTTAGGGGCAGGTACTTCGGAAGGGGTAGGCTCAGGCAACTGGAGAGAGCTCCCCTCACCTTGGGGGTTGGAAGCGGGCAACGGGAGCTCCATAGCAGAAGGCTTGGAAGCCGACAAAGCCGATCCCCACAAATGCAGTCTTAGTCTTTGCTGCCTTGCTTTCAAAGCCGCTTTAGTAAAAGCTTTACAATGCTGACAGTTCTGGGGCAAATGAGATTCCCCCAAACAAAAAAGAGAAGTGTCGTGCCTGTTGTGATAGGGGATCTTCCCCGAGCAAACGACACAGCGGCTAAAGGGTCCAGAAGGTGGGGGGGCATAGGCAAAAGCCCCTGGGACTGGGACGCGACCGGTAAAAAAGGCGGGAAAGCGGAAAACTCACGCGAAACAGCCGAATAAGAGCCAAAACACCACACCAAAGTCCGCAAAGCAGTAAGCAAAGTCAGGAAACGTGCCGAGGTCAAAAATATCCAGAAAAAAACCAAGCCGAAAATAACAGCTAGAACAACAAGGAACCACTTCACACGGCGGAGAAATGGAACTGAGGTTTGGGCGGGTGGAGCATGCGCAATATGGGTAATCTCAAACAATGTTTCTCTTTGCAGAGCTCTGGAACATTCCGAAGAGACCGACGCTGGCGCTGACTTAACCCTTTTTGTGTGCATTCACAGAAGACCATGCTGAAGAACTGTAGGTTTGACAGCTGTCAAACCCAAGCATTTAAAAGTTTTTGAACATTTTAAGACACTTTAAAAACAGGGGAAACGGACATCGCTAAGCGAAACAGGGGGACCTAAACTGTCATTGCTAAGCGAGGCAAGGTCCCGAATATCGCTATGCGAAATTTCCCCATAGGGAACATCACTAAACGGAGCGCAAAATCGCTCCAAAAACCTCATCGCTAAGCGAATACATCGTTAAACGGGCAATTGCTAAGCGAGGCACCACTGTATATGCCTGTCCCCCAGACTATTCAAATGTACATTTCTACTCAACATGAAATTGACACAACTACGGGAAGCAGTGGAAGATAGGAGGGCCTGGAGTGCTCTGGTCCATGGGGTCACGAAGAGTCGGACACAACTAAACGACTAAACGACCGAACTCACTACTAAGTGATTTTTTAAAAAATGCTCCACTTCTGTGTTTCAGTTGTAGAAAAGGTAAATGCATTTATCTGTGCAAGCGTAATAGGTTAAATAAAATAATAAAATAACATATAGGTAAAGGTAAAGGTTCCCCTTGACAATTTTTTTGTCCAGTCGTGTTCGACTCTAGAGGGCGGTGCTCATCCCCGTTTCCTAGCCATAGAGCCAGCGTTTTTGGCCGAAGACAATCTTCCGTGGTCACGTGGCCAGTGCAACTTAGACACGGAACTTTGTTACCTTCCCACCAAGGTGGTCCCTATTTATCTACTCACATTTGCATGCTTTCGAACTGCTAGGTTGGCGGCAGCTGGGACAAGCGACGGGCGCTCATTCCGTCGTGTGGATTCGATCTTACAACTGCTTGGTCTTCTGACCCTGCAGCCCAGGCTTCTGCGGTTTAGCCCACAGCGCCACCACGTCCCACAAAAATAACATATAAAAAAGACCAAAAAAACCCCACAAAACCCTGCAGTGGTACCTTAAAGATTGTTACATTCTAATGTGAGCTTTCATGGACAAGTCTACTTCCTCAGATTTAAGAAGGAAATATAACAAGACAAATATTTATACATGGCATCAGAATAAGAGATTGTGGTTGGCTGACTGGTAAGAAAGTCAATATGTATTTAACAGTGGGGTGATAGTTTCTTTGATATCCAGGTATATCCTGTTGAAGTTTGTGCTATAAAGGATGTAAGAACACCTGTCATGAATAACAATGGTGGAGTAACATGAAAGTTAATTATTCTGAGAAGATTGCCCTTTTACAATTGCTAATGACCTTTATAGAAAGTTGTCTGGGTAATTCGCACATAACAGTGATATGTGAATTACCCCAGTCAACAGATGCCCACAAGAGCAACATGGCAAATAGTTAAAACTCTGATTTACCTTCAGATTTTTTTTTAGGTGAGTCTGTTAAGGAGGAAAATATATCTGGGAAGTATTATATAGTACAATTATTGTAGTATTCATATTTAGTAGTGCCTTAAAAAGCCTTGGCTTATATCAAATCCATTGACATGGATGTCTAGCATGAGTATGTATTTTATCTCAGCTGTCTATGGATTTTTGTCCTCTAATCTTTTCCCCAGAATGATCACTTTTAGATTGTGTGTAGAATGTCCTGGTAAATTAAAATGTTGCCATTCTGCTGTCTAATTTGTGCCCATTAATTCTTCTGTGTAGAGACTGTCCGTTTGTTCTATGTAGAATGCAGATGGGCATTGCTGGCTAAAGATGGCATGAAGAAAAGGTCTTAGTAACTGTAAAAAGCCAGTATAATTAGCAATTCATGTTATTCTACCATTGTTATTCATGACAGAGGTTCTTGCATCCTTTACAGAACAAGCTTCAATGGAACTCTGTATACTGGTATTTCAAAGAAGCTACCACCCCACAGTTAAATATCAATTGACTTCCTTAATGACCAACCACGACCTCTGTATTTTGATGCCATATATAAATATTTGCCACATTATATCTCCCTTTTATTTTTGAGGTAACTTGTCCATAAGAACTCACATTAAAATGTAAGTCTTTAAGATGCCACCAGGTTTTTGTCTTGTTCATTTGTTCTTTTTTTCAGTTTTTTTAAAAAATACTATCAATCAATTTTACCAAGCACTTTGCTATTCTGAATCTATACACACAATTAGATTGACTTGTGATATATACACAATCTTATGCATAAATATATTTTAGGGGTAGCCAAGTATGTTGCTAGAACATGCAACTGAAATAACAAGTTATTCACTTTTCTGAATACAGCATGTGTTTTAGTAACGAATACGCTCAGAGAAGATATACGTTCTGAAAGGCATCAACAATTTGATGGGAAGGGGGCAAGTTGAATATTCTGCTGCTTCTCATTTCAGGCAAAACACTATCAAAAAGAGAAGGTTGCACAGGAAACAATAGAGACTATTACAAGTGGTGCACTTAACAAGCTTCTCAGTTACAATGTTCTCAATTCCCCTACCAACCTTCCTTTTGGATCTTACAGGCCCACACTAACACCTGAGCCTGGAATTAACTATGTGTTCAAGCAGCTAGCACCATCAAGTTTGTACGAGCTTCAAGACACTTCCACACTTGCTCATTTGACTCCATGCTGAGGTCTTAGTCCCTTGGGCTGCTTCATGGTAATTTTTTAATATGGCTGCACATGTTCTAGTGTGTGTTTTTTTTTAATCTGCAAGTATCCTCATGAACAAGCAGCACTATGAGAAATGTATGTACTGTACATATTGAAAACATGTATGGTTGATTAACAAATCTCTTCTGAAATAAAATTATGACTGTAAAGAAGCTACAGTGAATGCTGATGGACTCTGAAGAGCTAAAGAGATACCTTGGCCCTTCTTCAAACACCTAGAAGATAAGATCAAAGGGAGGTAATAAGGGGATGTATTAAGTGTTCACATTATTTCCTTCTCTTCTAAATTATGACATTACAAACAAAGCAACAAAGAAAAAATTCGTGCCAGAGTACAGGGTCATGAGAGTGCTGATTTCAGACAATCATGTCATTTATTACCAACGTAACAGGTATTCCCTCACTGCTTTATTCAACTGCAGGAGATAACTTAGCCTTTAGAAACCATGTATTCAGAGCATTAAATGGAACCATAACTAGTTTCCTGAATTATTTACCAAATAAAAATTTGAAAACTGACATTTATTAATCACCTCAATTTTAATACACAGTTTAAGAATGTGGCAGCATAGAAGGAAACTAGTTTTTAAAACAAACCTGAATTTACCACCAGTAATACATTAAAGATCCGGAATCTCTGATAAAACGGTTCTAAAGAACATTTGACCTAAACCATCAGCTACTGGAATGCTATGTAGTGCAGCTCTAAGATATATTGAAATTATCCTTGGGGAGCAAGGCATACTCATGACGTATCGGAGCTCCATAACTGTTAGCAGCAGTCTTCGGGGAGAAAAAACTTAACAGTTCTACAGTAATTTCCAGATAATACCCTGCTTGTGGGAATAGCACTCCGGGCTTTCTTCTTTTTGATTAATCTTCATACAGACAGTGAAATAATTATCAGATTTACACTAGCAAGTTAGGGTTAGAACACCAAAGTAGATAATGGCAGATCCCATTTGGTCCAGACAAAAATCACATACATATTTAACTAATTATGTTTTAATAGGACATAGTAAACCTCAAAATTAAACACAGAATTCAGGGGTTTGAACTGGGGGGGGGGAAGAGAGAGAGACAAGAGTACTAAAGAGCATTTTCCACCATTTACTCTCATTATCAAAAATATTTTCAACTCTTCTTGCAAAACAGAAAAAAAATACATACAGAACACTTACATCACATTCTTCTTTCTATGGCTTTAACCCCCACCCACCCTGCCCTACCCACAGAAAAGACAGGGGGAAAAACAAACCTTAAAGCCAACAAAAATGCTATTTGACCACATTCACATAAAATGACACCATGGTACACTACAGAACAAAAAGGAGGCATCATCCAATTGGTGTCCAAAACCTTTCACTTACTCTTCCGACCTAGTAACCACTGTACATGCTTTGTGCCAAATCCAAACTGTCTGATGTCATAATTCATTGGCAATTTCATTTAGTGAATATTCAGATGGCAAGCAGCAGAGTTTTAGAAACTGTGACATTACTTTTATATATATTGCTTTAAATTAGGAGATGGAGGATAAAAGGCAAAATCCAGTGTTGTGAGAGCATTCATGCAATAGGACTTTCCCTTCTCACCCGTTAATCTCCAAGAATATGCTTCAGGTGAACTCTGAACCCTATGGTGCAGATTGAGCTGCAAGGCTAAAGGAAAATCACTCCTTCCTAGTTGCACTGATGGAAGCTATTTTGTTGTTCAGGGAGGCTAACTGGAAACAATTTACAGGTAATCCATTCTATTCTAGTCAGCCCCCAGTTTGTCAAAAAGGGGGAATCTGAACATTAGACATGTATCACAAAATCAGTAGGCTTAACATAAATGGTATTTTCCAACCTACAGTTTGTTGTCTTTTCCCATGGTGCAAATGAAAATAAACTATTGATAAATTCTTGCACAACAAACGGGACATGGAGCAGTTTCTGTTTGTTCTAAGATCACCTGCAGGACTAACCATAGCAATTCCAGGTTTGGCATATTACTGCTGCTCCAGTCATGACTGCACTGTAGCATTTCACTTACTTTAACCCAGATCTTCTTATTCCTTACTTGTGTGCATCGAGGCCACCTCCTAAATGAGACCGCAACTACTCGGAAGAGAAGGGCTTGAGAAACCAGGCACGGGAGATGTGGAACCACCTCAGCTAAAAGTCAGTAGTCAGACAGCATTGTATATCTGAAACAAGTGCACCTGGCTAGATCAGAGCTATGTTCTTGCAATATTTAAATCAAATACATAGAATAAACGAACAGCTCTATACCTTTGGCATGAGAATCAAATTGCTTCTGTTTGAAGGCAACGAGCATAACTCCATTCAAAATATAGAGTACTATTTTTATAACCAACTCAACAGGAATATCCTGAAGTTGAATGTTAACATGAATGCTAATAATATGACAATCATATTAGATTACTAACCTTAACCTGCACATCTCTTTCTAAAACTGAAAATAAAAATCTTGGGAGGCTGGTTCAAGACAAATGAGCTCCAAAAAGTTTTTCTTTCAGAGGAAAAGAGAAGAACTTTGGGTGACATGAAGAGAGGACTAAGTTTGATCATTTTTTTTCCCTTTTGAGCAGCATATATTAGTTGTAGAGTAATTCTTACTTTCTGAATAAGTTTTAAGGTGCTAAATTTCTAATTTCTCTAGACACTAATAAGTTGGTATTACGACTTGTTATTTTTATTAGATTTTTAGGAGGAAAATGTGCTCATTTGTTTTTTGTTTTGTTTTTTTCAACACAGGCACTGAACGTGGCTATATCATGAATTAGCTGAAATATGATGGACTGAATAGGAACCATTTTCTGTATATTTAATCAATCTCTGATTAAGCACAAAGCATGAATTGGTACAACAAGGTCAGTATTTGTCAGGAAGTCATATTGTATTTTTAAAAAAATCATTTACATTAGCATTTGAGCTGAAACTATGAGGTGCTGTAAGAACAAAAGACAGTTTCAGGGTAACTCCGCAATTACCGTCAAACTATTTCCCAGACACTAACGCACAACATAGCAATGAAAAACACTTGATACAAGTGATCTATATGTAGGAGCTCCGGCAAGTTAAACAGAACCATAGCTGCCTTCAAAACTGTAGCAGTCCCCCTGCCAAAGGGAGAAAGTCAAAAAGAAAATAAAAGACTCAGCAGTCATATCTCATTTCTATAGCTTCATCCAAGTTCTTATCATCGTTTGTACTGGCAGCTAAAAACGTAGTTACTGGTGATCCTGTCACATTAATTACACTGGTACTTGTGCTGGCATTGCGAACAGCAATGCTTGTCACATTAATGCCCAAAGTAAGCCTAGTCTGCTCCAAGGCCTTTTCTGGCACAGCAAATGCCTCCAGTTTCTTCTCCCCATTAGCCATATAAGAATTTTGGCAGCCACGGCATATGCAGTCCAAACAGGCTTTACGGTTCGAATAGCAAGGGCAGCGCTGGCCACGACATGTAAGAACACTTGGATTTTGCGTGGCTCGACCACATTTACACCCCTTCTTCTCTTGTGCCTTTTTGTACACAGTTTTGGTTGGACTTCCTGGCATAACGTGACTAGGATTTTTTTCTTTTGACTTTTTCAGCATTCCTGATTTAGATTTAGATTTCTTGGTGGTATGATCTAGATTCTTTTTCATGCTTTTATTTGACAACAGTACAGTTTTGCCTATTTTAGGTGCAGTGCCACCATTGGGTACATTTGCTATAGGCTGCAAAGACATCTCCGCTTCCTGTTTCACTGTTATGGGAGCTGAGGCTCCCAATGTTGGGCCACAAAGAATGCTGGAAATGGGAAGGGGCTGAACCTTTTCACTGTCACTTTCCGATCGGGAACGTTTTCTGTTCAATTTTGCTACCTTAGGTGTTGCTGCTGTACAGGAAATCCCATGAGGTGAAGCATCCATTGATATGAACATGTTATGGCTAGGAGGTGGGGGAGAAAGCTGCAAAAAAGGGCCATTAGATAAACTGGTTTCTAAGCTGTGTTGCAGATTAGAACTGCAGATCTGTGGGTTGGAGTCCAAACTCCGTAGGACTTCTTCAACACTGAGTAAAAGAGAATCACCAGGTTTGATGTCTTCGCTGAAACTGTGAATATCAATGCTTGCTCCACACAAGTCACTAGGGGAAACCACATCACAAACAGGCTGAAGACTGCTAGAGATATCTTCTGTTTTTATGTATTGTCCAGGACTACACACATTGACTACATCTGTATGTTCAGGAGAAGGAATATTTGCTCCAAGTGTATCTGATAACCCATTACAATTGGGCAGCCCATTAACAGCAGAGCCTTTCATATCAGAGTCATTTATGCTTTCAGGTACAGAAGAACAACTTGGAGGTTCATTAGTATGCTCTGAGGTTGAAGGTGATGGGGAATGTGTCAAACACAATGCCAATGGTTCTTCTGATTCTTTTTCTGGGTCTTCATGGAGTGAGGAGCCATCTTTTAGCAAAGTCAAAAGATCTGGAGAACTCTCAACAGCCTGTTGAATATCTAGAGCTAGTGGTGTTTGTGTTATGTACTCACATAGTTTTTTATAGCAGTTAACTAGAATGCTTAACTGTTTATTTTCTTCAAACTGCTCATAGTCTTTGCACCAACTACACGAAGGCTTCATCATCATCTTCTTGCCTTTACAACTTTTGCAGACATAATGCTGACATGTGGAGTTGGTGGGTGCAATTGGATCTTGAAGTAGATTTCCTAAAGGGAAAAAAAGAAAATGATTATAAAAGCTCAAAAGGAAGCCAAGATTCTATTATGACAATTCAAATCCATTTCATACTGTAGCTGCAATTTTATATTACACAAGGTTAACCACAAAACTACACTATGTATACCAATGACATATGGATAATCACAATACAAAGCAATATAGTGATGATCAGGCTAATGTGTTCTTAATGCTCATTTTCACTATTCCAATTACATTCATTTTGCACTGATACAGTTAGAATACAATCCAGGTGATTCTATAGTTCTGCAAACAATCAAAAATAATTCTGCAGAATTCTAATAGCCATTACAAAATGATTGCATGAAAGTTCTTTGAATGTATTTTCCAGAACACATCAACCTTGCTGGGGACTTCACAAACTACCAAAAATTCCTAAAGCTACCTAACTACTTAGCAGGTGAACTAACTAACTAAATAAATAAATAAAAGGAAAAGACTAGGAGTCCACTTCCAGTGTTAAAAATTGTGTTAAAAGGTGTGAAGAGTCCTTGAGACACATTTTAAAGGTAGACTGTTATTCCTGGAGGCTTTACCTTTGTTGTCAGAAAAAGAGGAAGCTGAGAGAACAGCCTTGGGAAACCATCCATATACTGTACACCCATAGGGCTACACTTCACTTGTTTCTGCCTCATGTATTTAATGTAATTGTTCACTATTTTTCTTCCCCGAACAGAGCTCCCAAAGAGATTTATAACTGATAAAAATGTTTAAAAACAGATTAAAAGCATTTTAAAACATATGTTAAAAGCACATCTCGACTTCCTCTATAAACTAGTTTTTAAAAATACTCTCCCAGAAACCAAAGGTTTTTGGAACTTTACAATTTAGTTATCTGTCAAAAACTGAACAAAGACAGAACCAGTTTAGCTTCCTCTGGGAGGAAGCTCCACAATCAAAATGCTGGTACAGAGAGATCTGTCCCATATCTACCAATCTAGCTTCTCATGGTAGCTAATCATCAACTGCAACTTGTTAATCATTAACTTTAACCCATCAACACAAACACATGCATGCATATTTGTTATTTATCTGTTTGGGGAAATCAAAGACATTTTAGATAGATTTTAGAAACTTTACTAAGCATGTTGTTCTTGCTATGAATTGAAAAACTGAGAATAAAATCTAATACAAAGCATGCAGATACAAATTCTACCAATTTTATCTCAAATATCAGATATGTCTATGGGGGAAAAACTACCCAAAACCTTTCCCTTCAAAAAAACACCCTTCAGGATAGTGATGTTAATAAATGGATGTACTATTTGGGAGCCCCACAGTGATTGGTATTTAAATTCTATGCCTCAGTTCCTGACACCTTACAAAATATTGATAAAAACTACAATTGCTCAAAATCCTAGAGAGATAAGAAGCCATCCATCAGTGAGATTCTACCGAACTGTCAACAATATAGAAGAGTTTATTTAAAGTATTAGGCAGTCTCTCTCGTGCGCGGTTGATAGCAGAAACTCAGACAGAGTGCAGCTGTTGCACATAAAAAAATCACATCCATATGCACTGGTTTCCTCATGTGGAATCAATCTGACAAAAGTGTCCTTCATAAAAAAAATGTCAATGTCAATGTTTAGGGTCAGAAGATTCCTGTGGAACCCTACAAGCCACACAAGTCTTTTTTCTTTTCTTTTTTGCAGTTACTACCCAGAATCACATTTTGGTTAGCAGACAATTGTCATGCAATATTCTTATACTATTACTCTCTGCTCTGAGTATACTATTTGTATGAAATGACTAAACTCTCCAGATGCTGGTACGCAATATGATTATGATGTAATCATTCTGCATCCAATGTTGGTGTACTCATGTTTCAGCAAAAACATGATGGCATTAAGATTTCACAATCTGTATTGTTGCAACAAAGCTGCTCTGTCACATATTGGAAGATAAAGAATGAAGGAGTCCCTGGATAAGTAGTAACTATACCCAGTCCAAGGATACAACTTCAAAGTTCAGGTGCTATATTACTCACAGGAAAAAGGTGTTAAAACTATATATATTCTGTCAGTAACCAAAGACACAAATTTCCCATTGCTTCACCCTAGAAAAGTACAGTTTCAACAAGCTCATTACTTATTAAAATAATGAACCAGGAGTAGATTTTATATTATTAGCATTTATTCAGTTCATTTCCTGCATTTCCAATGAAAAGTAGTACCCAAAGCAGCCAACATTAAAATGCAAGTAACAAAAGTTTTAATTAAAACAATAAAGAATCCAGTGGAAACATATCAAATAAAAACACAAAAGAAATGACAAGATATACAAATTTAAACTTGCTACAGCAGCTCAAACATCAAAGCCTACCTGAATAAGAATGAAGGCAGAATGATCAAGGTGGAGCTAGCTTCGAATTTCTTGGCATAGAAATCTACAGTGTGGGAGCAGTCACTTGCTCTCTCTTGTAGCCCCACAATATGCTTATGAATGTGGCGGAGAGAAAGGCCTTTTCTAAGAATCATAAAACAGAGAGGCTCATACAGGACAATGTGCTCATTCAAATAATGTTGCCCCAAGCCATGCACAGCCTTATAGGTTATGATCAAGAATTTGAATTGTAGACAAAATGGATCAATGAGGCTGTCATAATATGGGGGTCACAGATTCCTTGTAATAGGCTCTAGTTTAGTCGAGCCACAATATTCTGCATTGACTGAACCTTCGGAACATTTCATTCCCCCATGCAGAGAATGTTACAGATCCATGTAGATAGAGTAACTTCAGGGTGAATAAAAAAATCAATGATTTTTTAAAACTCAAACTGATTTAAATCACAATTTTTTAAAATTTAAAAATACTTTGATTTTTAATATTTAAATTGTGATTTAAATCAAATCCACCTTGATCCTGAATGAGATGGAGATAAAGCAAGTATGTCACCATGGCCAAATCTGACACTGGGTTGGGTCATGCATATCAAGATGCATGGCATGCAGTTGGATACTTGCTTACATGATTGGGCAGAAAAATAATTAAAATTGTGGTGGAGCAAAAGCCAAGCTGATTTCTCATTCTGTCAGAAGAATTTTTCTGTCAGCAATCAAAACAAATGCCTATTTCTCTCAGGCAGCACAATCAACTTTTTTTGATTTTGTTAAATGAAATATATAAATGGATGTTATCAATAAGAAATGAAACTAAGTTGACATGTTGCAGACCAGTTTGTCGACAAACTATAAAGACCAAGATTCACTGGAAGGGGACAGGATGAAATACAGCAATGGGGAACTTAACTGAAAAGGCATTCCACATGATGGGAGCACTCTGACAGACAGACAGACAGACAGAAAGACAGAAAGAAAGAAAGACAGAAGACATACAACTGCCAAGGACAATAGATTTCTGCAGAAGAAAAAGGGGGACAGCCAGATAACATTTGTGATATCACAGGCACTCAATCTCTGGACATATTTTCAAGTACTGTAACTTCAATTCTGTAGCTACAACAGGCATAGATAAAACAACGCCTGAGGAAAGGAAACAAACAGACATCAGTACTCCTCCCGCTGCAAAGTACTGTACTTTTAGGCAATCACAGGAGAAAGATAACACAAATGATTATAGACTATTCTCCTGTCCAGGAAGTTGGAGATACTGAAGGCTGAAAGAAACGATATGTAACAAATCGAAGCAATGTGTCTCTTAGAAACATGACATAGAAAATATAGAATCATACAATAATGAAAATCTGTATTACTGACAAAATCATAAAAACCTCACTATACACTGGTGAATGGATTGAAACAAACAAAAATACTAATTATTACTTATTACCTATACCATGAACCATATACTCTGCTTTCCCATATACTTTGTGTGATCTTTCACACTTTTCTGCATGATCAAAGCATATCCTTTTTCAATGACATTTTATTCTTGTTCTCTACTGTCAAATCACAACTTATGGCAACTCTATGAACAAGCAATCGTCACAATATTCTGTCAACTGCCCTACTAAGCTCTTGTAAACTCAAGCGGCTTCCTGATACCATAAACTATCCACTGACAACTGATGCAGCACAATGGCTAAATAAAATGTGCTATGAGCCAGAAATGCCGATTTGTATGTAGTCAATAGCATTAACAGATGGAAGTGGTTTTAGGGTGCCCCCTAGCCCCAATCTCCATCAACAATACGGTCATAATTTTAAAGAGCATTTAAAAACATTTGTAGAATATCTTTGACAGGAGATTTTCAACTGTTATGCCATTCTTTTATCAACCCTAAGCAATCAACCCTAAGCATCACTGAAAGTCTTGTTTTGTTTAGCCTTCTGTAAATATATCACCTTGAACACAGTCTATCTTATATGGTTAGAATCTGAATGAGGCATAAACAGGGAATATTAGAAATCTCCAGGTATGGCTGGCTATGAAAGAATCTTGCTTGAAATCCCAAAAGAGACATAGCCAGTAAGAGTTGACAATATTGGGTTAGATGGACCAATTGCCCAACTCAGTATAGAACAAAACTATACAAAAGAACAAAATGATGGTAGTACAGTGAAAAGAATAGCTTGATAGACATGATGTAGAGAGCTACTGACGAGAAAGTAAAATGATGTGGACATGTGCCTAAAGGGGTATCCATTCTAGCCCAGCAGTTTTAAGATCATGTGTGGTGAGGTGAGGTGAGTTGGGTGCGCTTCAATAATACCTCATAGAAATCTGTTCAGAACACAAGAAACTCACAACTTAACACAGCTCAGAATACAATCCCTCACTTTTACAACCATTTGGTAGGTTAACTAATCCCTCCCACAGTGTCCAAATATAGAGATGGGGGTATTCATATTTGAATACATATATCCCTGCACAGGTGGCGATAATGAGGGTCCAGCCCCATAGGGCCGGACAGTCCACTCACCAATCTGCCGCTGATGCAGATGCCATGATTCTTCCAATGGCTCTGCAGATCGCCATCTGTGAGCCACTCTTTAACCTTGCAGAGAGG